CCCCCCCCCCCCTCAAGAACTTAAAGAAAGCTGTTTACGGGTTTTCAACGGTGAAAATTACACAGTAATATATAATAACGTATTTTTATGAATTTATTTCATCGCCGACTACAACACCCACCAAAATTTTCAAATTTAAAACGTAAGAATAAAATGCATTTATACACCAGTTTTACAAAAACACATTAAATGTTTTTCATATAGAGTAAAATATCGATGTACTAAAAACATTTTGATTAATTATGATATGTTCGGTTATAGTGTGTGACAAAACGGCTAATTAACTTTGAATGATGCGAACTGAATATGAAGGGGGGAGGGAGAAATAAGATTTAAGCTATTATCAGATGTTTTTTTAGCCAAAACCAAGCATGGAAAGGGTTAAATTCAGAATAGCTCCAAAATGTGGTTTAATATTTACAAAACTGCATAATACATGAATAAACGTCAACATGTTAATCTTGATATGTAAGCTAGCTGTGTGTTCTAGATTCTCCTGAAGGTCGTCATTTCTTATTTCAAACATAGCTACTTCCGTGATAGTAAACAAATAAGCAACATAGGAAAACGTCAGCATTTTTCTTCTTAGCAATATTCAGATAGAGTATGGACCATTTCCCACCCCGTGTAACTTTAATCTCGGTCCTTGTCTTTTGATCGCAAGCAGAAATCTACGAACTACAGACGGAATTTCTATGTCCACTCTAAGACAGTGGGTCTTAACTCTTCTCGTCCCATGCTTGCTTTGCATATGAGATCCCCACAGACCACCGAATACCTATAAATCTTTATTTTGTGTCTTAATTGAGCTCACCACCAAGAATTATTTTTCAGTTATACTTAAAACCAATTCAGTGCAATCCTTGTAGTGATTATATTAGTCACGTGTTTCATTTAAAAAAATTAGAAGAGCAGGAAACAGAAAGATTGTTAAAGTACAGATATCTAAAATACGAAGGATATGAACAAAACCAATTATTATTAAAAACAATTGTAGAATACGGAAGAGACGGTCTTAAGTTGGAGAAAGATGATTAAATTCAGTTAACCTATCAAAGTGCCTCACACGAAAGCGAATTACAGGAAAACACTGAAAATGAGACAAAATTTAAAAAAGTAACAAGATATCTAATTAATTAACAGCTCGGTAAAAAAAACCCGAAGATTATTACGGAAATTCGCCAATAGACATCATCCAGAGCCGGTTACATCCACTCCATTCTTCACAAACACTATAGCATCCATCGCCCGCCATCTTTGTATTTGTGTTTTACGCCTATAATTCTTTGAGCATCCTAACACGGAAATGCTAAAAAATTATAATTCCAGTGTCGTAAGCTAAGCACAGAAAGGTTTGGACTACACTCCGGGAATATGGTTTAAGGACACGCGGGTACAAAACGGATGGATTACTGCTTACGATTTTGAGCAACAGAGACTCTAGTAAGCTATAACCATTTCGTACGTCGATTAGTTTTGATGTTTTAAAAATAATTTCAACAGCTGAGACTTATTATAATACAATATTTGAAATGAAATGCTTCATTCGAAACTGTCACAAAGGATAGTTGTGAATTCTAGATTCCAATTTACCCTACGGCACATGGCCCAGGTTTCCATAGAGACAAACATAAATATGTTCTTATTAAAGCTGGAGATAAGATGTGAGCTGGAATGTTTTGAATCTTGTTTATCAGCAGACTAAGTTTCCTAGTCAGTAAAACTGTAGCCTATGGCCCATATGAGACGTCAGTTGTTTCTTTCTCGCGAGATGAAGACATTCCTCACAACATTTAACTTATTCACTTCGAGATGTTCAAGAGGACATCTGTAGTTTATCTGTGAACTTATATGTGATTAAATGGTTAACTGTAAAATGTCTTTTCTCTTCCTGTGCATCCTTCTAATCGGCAGGTTAGAAAATCCACGCCAAAACATCAACAATCCTAAGATTTCTCTTGGTTAGGTTCCTAGTTATTTAACGGCTTGCTTGTTACGTATTTTCTTCATGGTTCATTTAACGACGTTGTAAAAAGCTATTATAGTATCGAATAATACGATGATTAATGAATAATGACTTGGACAGGATATGGAAGGAAGCGATCGTAGCATAACTTTAGGAACTATGCTGGTGATTGCTGGAGCAGCCGAGGAAGCCCATGAAAACCCTTAGGATGGCAGAGAATAGAATCCTTGACCTCCGGATTACGACTCAGGAGTGCTCGCCACCCGGCCACGAAATGTGGACTGGTAAGAATGTATGAGAACTTTAACGTAACAGCAATGTCGATGTTTGTGTCTGAATTTTAAATTTTAATTAGATACTTGAAAAGTTTGGGCATTCGGCAAACGAGGAACCTCAGAACAACCGTGTTTTATTCTTAGAACTCAGTACATAATTCAGTGACTCACTGAAGTTCATCAATTCCATCACAAAAGCAAGACAGAGAACGTTTCTCTTCACACCTTCATAAACAATTTCTGTACAAATCTATTTTAATATTATCCTCTCAAGCTACAGAGTCTCATGAGGTTTCTCTACCAGACTTGAGTGCCTACAGACTTGGATTAATATCCACCGGACACAATAAACGGATAATGCAATGGCCACATTATTCAGGAATTTCTTTCCTCCGGCGCCAAATACTCGTAAATGCAATAAGTACGTGTCGGTGTCCTTAAGCGACGTATCTCGTGCGTCGTAGCGTGGAAAGGGTTAACGTTCTGTAAAATAATTCTTCTCTGTAATGATGTAAATTTGACTTGCGTAATTCATTCAGTTCCAAAAACAAACAATTCAATTGCAAGTAATTGTAATGCAATTAGATTGGTAGCACTGTAAGCAAGGTATAACAGACTGCTGGGTCTACGTGCAAGAAGGGCGTAAGGAACGTAGCACATTTTGCAATTCATCTGTCTGGCTTGATACAGTCAAGGCTGCGTGCCCAGGCCAGCAGGTGGGGCAGATGGAGCATCGAGTATGTCTTTCTCACAAAATGATAGGAATTAACGTCCGCAGAATTACTTGCTTATTTAAATATCCTATTACAAACCCTTAGCTATATTGTGAGCAAGTGAGTTATAATTACAAATCTGCGCTTCTAAAACCGTGCACAAATTATTAGGAGCGCTACTGGACAAAGACGACTTTTATAAGATTTCGTAATTGCAAAATAATTCGGGTAAGGACATTCACTTCTGCCAGCTGCTGCACAACGCAGGTGAAAGGCAACCACAAAATGTAATGTCGTCAAACAATCTCATACTTGATCAACAAGCGCTGCATATACCCCCCCCCCCCAAATCACCTCGCGTCCACTTCGTATGCATTTATCTACTATGTCCTTATGTGAATTTCATCTTCTGTCTCTCAGCAAAAACATTTCTTGAGCGTGTCTAAAAACGAGATGCCGGAGGAGAAAATTTCAGCCTGTGAGAGTGGAAGTGACAGGAAACTGGAGAAAATTACATAATGAAGAGCTTCATGATCTGGACAAAATGTTATTAGGAAAACAAAACAAAGAAGGGTATGTAGCATGTTGGCAGAGAGAAGAAATATATAGACCTACATAATTTTAGCCAGAAAACTAGAAAGGAAAAGACTTGGATCTTAAGTAAATTGTGCGGGAGGGTATGGACTGGATTAATCTGGATGACAAGGGGGACCAGTAATGAACCTTAGGGTTCAATTAAATGTGAGGAATTTCTTCACTATTTGGTAATAATGTAGCGTCATGTTGTGAAATATAATAAATAATATACGATAATTTCTTGACTAGCTGACTGATTATTGGCTTCCCACAGAGAAGTCAATTTGAAGCCGAGTAGTCAGTTGAAGACAATAAGAAGTGATCAAAAGAATATTCACAATTTAACCAGTGAACTGTATCCACTTTGATCACGTCCCTTGTTATTTAAACATGATTTACACTGCAGGACCAGGGTTTTGGGTCATGGCAGCTCAGAACTTAAGCCTATACACATTACGCAATTAATAATCGAGAAACATCGTATTAATATTGTGCCGCGGGTGGTCTGTATAACGCTAAGAGTAAGCCCCATATTATGTAAATAACTTCACTTAGTTATAGGCATATTAATTTATGAATCACGAAACTTGACACAAACGGAGTATCACAATATACTTAGAAGAAACGCACGACGTCAGTTTAAATCGATGGGTGGTTCGTTTTAAATTATTTAACTACGTTTCATCAACTGCTGAGATGTAACTTGCTAAACTGCGGCTGAATCCTGCCGTCAGCACTCGCTTGGAGGAACTGAAGAAAATCTGCTACAGCCCTGAGTCAGATTAGCCTGCCTGTGGAACGAGAGTCAAACCGAAAATCTCCCGAACACGAAGCAGGACTTTACTGCAAAAAAGCGGTTTCAAGTTTAAACCTTGCAGACACGCAGCAACGCAATCCTTGTCGTGGAGTGCGGGAAGACTTTTCCTTCCCCTGTAATTCACGCCACCGTTTTTGCACTCTCCATTTCTATTCAGTTATCGCGGTTTGGGGCCTCCAGCGTGTTCGTATTCAAAATTCAGAATCTGTCTTCCCATTATGATTAATTTCATACAAGACTGCATTATGTAACTTGCACAGTTGATCAATGACCCAATCAATCAATTCTTGAACACTTCCACATCTGCTCATTCATATCAGGTTTATCGTGTAGCTCTTAATTACTGGGCGTGTTGTCCGGTAAAAAACAAGCGCCAGAGACATTACAGCGCATGCGTGGAAGGACGGACGGACTGACACACACAGTCTTTATATAGGCCTACGCACGCAAGAGCAGATCTAGTGTGAGACGTA